TGACCGATGAGCAGCATTGATTGCCCTCCACTGAGGGGATTAACTGCCCATCGTAATCCCGAATTATATCAAAAATCATACCCACACTCTGAGTTCCTCGTCATCTTACCCTGTAAATCTTTATCGTGCCTTGAGGAGGAAAGTCAATCAGCAGTAGGGAAAGTAAAAGACCAATTGATACACCCACCTTTTTTAAACGCAAGATCTATGCCTACCCTAAAGAGCTCTATGAAGCAAAAGGAGGGGTCATCAGAGAAGGCAAAACACATGTGAATTCTTCATGACAGGGGGAAAGAATTTCTAGCGAGACAACCACGTGGCAGAACCCAACGAGACGCATAGGCCACCCTGATGCCTATTCCCGATGCTCATTCCTCACTGCGCCATCTGCCCTGCCACATGGCGAAATTAACACATAACAGATCGAAAAGCCAAACGCGAGCAATCACCAGGTTATCCTGGAAGAGCACGCTGGAAGCAATCATGCACCTGCTACCCTCAGACCCGATTATCCTAGCGTCACTAACCCACCCCTTCGCGCCACCATCCAACTTCCACTGTTCCCGCACAGTCACCCCGTTCACCAAACCTTCCAAATACCCACCCTACTCGCCCACACCCCCGCTCCCACCTCTCAAAACATCTACAAAAAAAGACCAGGGGAAGGCGGGAAAAGGGGGAAAGAGACCGCCCATTCTCACTTGTTATTCCATGACTGTCACTGTATCTTTCTTGCTCTTTTTATCGCCGGTTGTACTGTCATCGTTAAAACTGTTGCCACAATCGTTGTAAACCCCAGCCGTATTGTGACCGGCAAGATCATTGTTGTCATCGTTATATTTGAGATCGTCATCGTTTTGTGGCGCGCAGCAGTTGAAAGGCTGTCCTCCCGTTCCCCCGCTGCACGCAGTATCATTATTACTGTTGATTTTTCCCACCCCACGCCACACACAACGTAAGCTCGTCGTCAATAATCCTATTGCAATCACTGTTGTTGTTGTTGTTGTTGTCGTTGTCGTTGTTATCGCCCTGTGCCACAGACATGGTAAGTTCGTTGTCATAGCTATCGGACATAACGATACTCCCTCCTCCCCACCGAGGGCAATCCCCATCACCCACCAACGAACGCACCTCTGGTTCGCCGCAAGAAACCTGCCCCTCCTCAAGCTCCCCGTGGGAAGTTACAACCTCCTCAATAACGAGAGTGGCTGAGACACAAGCGTTATCAGCGTCATACGAATGATCCTGCGACGTGGTGTGAAGCTCCTGCCCCTCCTTGCTAATATTGATGTTGTTGTTATTATCATCGGCAACAATATTGCTCACTTCGAAGTAATTGTCACCATTATTGTCGTCATCATTGTTATGCCCATTGATATTATAATTATCATCGTCGGCGATGTCGTTGCTCTCTGTGCTGAAGTTGGTGTTGAGATGACTGCCGATCATACTCACATCGTTGTTGCGCTCCTCCAGTTCGCTGTAAGAGCCCTGCCCCTCCTCAAGCCTCCCACGGCGAAGTACCCCCTCTGCTACATACGAACAATCTTGTGACATAGTGCGCATCTCCTGCTCCTCCTCAGGCCCCTCGCAGCAGCACCCTTTCACATCATCACACCTCAAACTCCCATACAGCTCCTCCCTGAGTTCATCAAAGATTCTCCTCACTTTCTTAAGCACTTCAGCACAACCACCCAACTCCACCATCACCTGCGCCTTCTCAATCGCGCCCGGCCATTGAGACGAAAGATCTGCATGGAGCTCCGCGTCCCAACCACTAACCAACTCCTCACCCTCCTCTAGGAGATCTGCTGGTAGATTGGGCCTATGTTGAATAAGCGCAGTATGAATCTCCTCCATCTGTTGCTTGTGCATCCGCACAATCTCCAACGCATCTCCCTCCTCTCCAGGCATGGCGGCAGCGATGGCATCTTGCACAGATGCCGCCTCCATCGCCATCTGCGCCGTTGATGAAGTCATAGGTGAGGCCGCTATTTGTTTATTAATATTGCTGTTTCTATTTCTTACTCTGTTGTCGAAGCCGCTCCCCTAGCAACCGCGCCACGTCGTTACTCCAGAGAGAGCTCCAAGAGAGGCAGAGCAAAGGCAACAGCCGAAGAAAAATGGTCAGAAAAGAACAAAGTTGTGTGACAAAGATGTATTAATGGGACGCTGGACCCTGTTTCCAGCAGCTGTCACTCCCCACCAATAGATGGAGCAGCCCACTAGCCAAGGCCTCAATTCCGGTTATTCTCTCACCACCGCGGCGATAGTGTTACTGATGAACCCCACCGTGCACGCGCGGCCTTGAACAGGTACCCTCAGCCACAGGAACGAAGTCTCGAAACCACTATAACCCTTGGAGGTGTTAAAAAAAAAAAAAAATGGATCCATACCGGTCGGGATAGTGTCCTTGAACTCACACCACACACAACACAAACTACACCACGGACACGGCAATCAAACGCACACTCCGCTCAAACAGCACGTGACCCACCATCGCTACTTAACCCGGTCACTCCAAGTGAACCAACTTCCCGCGGGTTCCACGGGACCCGATGCCTCACTGTGTTACTGATCAACGTGATTTAGGGCATCAGGTGCGAGAGTTCGTTCCTGTGGCTGAGGGTGCGCGGGGATAGTGGCCTTGCAAAAGGCCTTTTCTTATTTATTAAAAAAAAAAAGAGAAAAAAGAAGGGGGCAATAAGAGAGTGAACGACACAACTGTTGATCCCTTCCATGGGTGGGGTCTCTGCTTAGCCCTGGCACCTACAACTATGGGCTCGCAATAGGCGAGCACACTCCTAACAGATCCTCGAGAGACTCCAATCTATTGTTGGCTGGAAACCGGGTCCAGCGTCCCAGATAAGTACATACAAGAAACAAAATATGAGAGATCTACCACCTCTTCAGGCTACAAAGAGTCCCCCAGATGCACTTTGGCCCTAGTACCCAATCTTTTTCGTCAAAACGGACATACGCTGGACCCGGTTTCCAACAGGTGTTGCTCCCCACCAATAGATGGACCTTTTTGTCCTAAAAAAAAAACAAAAAATATATATGTATATGAAAGTCCGACGAAATAGTTTGTCACAGCCCCTCGTTTGTTGTCCTCTTCTCTCTCTCTACCTACGGTTTACCGGGCAGTTCTGTTTGTGACGATATATATATATATATATATACAGGGTTGCCGACGTTCGGGACGGGGCGAACGCCCGAACGTACGGGACCCCTTCGGAAGGCGTTCGGCCGTTTAGGCCAGACGCGGACCCGCAAAAAATAAAAAATAAAAAATAAAAAAAATCAAACAATTTCGAAAAAACAAAAATATTATGGAGAAAACTAAACTTAACAACATTTGTCTCGACACCGTATCCAAATTTTTTACCAAATTTGAATTAAAAATCAAATACAGAAAATAAACACTATGATAAAAATAGGAAAAAATGAAAAGAGAATTAAAACGAGTGAGTGTGCCAGCACCTTTTCGACACCGCCATATTTGCCAATTTTTAATTATTTTTTGGCATTGACAAATGCCCTGAAACTTTACAGATATGTAGCTTACATAATCAGTAACTCATTAAAAAGTTTTCAAAAAATAATAAATTTTTTTAGGCCCCGAAATAAAGTGAAAACAAAAAGCTACGTTACCGAAAGTACACGTACGGGGCCTTTCCGTACGAAACGTACAGATAATATCTGTACGG